CAAGGAAAACTTTCTGTCTATCTATGGTTTGTTTGTTTGTTTGAAGTTAAGCACAAAGCTACACAATGGGCTATCTGTGTTCTGCTCACCACGGGTATCGAAACCCGGTTTCTAGCGTTGTAAGTCCGCAGACATTCTGCTGTTACACTGGGGAGCTGTCTATCTATGAACATATATTCTCCTAAACGAGTTGACCGATCCAGACCAAACTTGACATGCTAGCTTAGTAGTCCAAAAGCAAACCAAATCTGGCATATATTGAAAAACTAAAATATTTTATAGAATAATCCCTATATCGTTACTGCAGTAGATATTGTAAATAGTTGAGTTTCAACAAAACTTATATACCACAACAAAATTGTGCAAGTCAAAGATTGTAAATAAACTTTTCAGAGTTTTGGCTTCTTTCCCTTAACAACCAAAATATACAGTAATACCCAGTTACAATGCAGATAATACAGATATAGCTGCAGTTTAAGTTTCCCGCTCTTTCCCGAATCATACAGTTTAACTTACAGTTTATACTAGGGTTATAATAAGCGTTTATGCCTGGATTAGAAAAGTATTTCAAAATTAAAATATTTTATAGGACATTTCTGACTTCTTGATGTAGAATATAGTTTTCCATAGAAGTAAAATTCAAGATTATTATTAAATTTCATGCATCAAATATACCAAATACAGACAATAGAAATCTTGACTACATCTCTACAGTGAAATGGGCTGCTTAGAACAAAAAGTGACGCAACCGCTTTGCCATTTCTGCCAAGTTTCTCGACTCGATTGCTACACCTACTCACTTCCGATCTACTTCCCCCTGTCTTACAACAATTTTCTTGGAGAATGAACGCTACTGAAAATCCTCGCAGTGATTTTGCTCATTTTTAGCCAATTTGTGCATGTTTTCCGCATTTTCAAGGGAAAAATATGGAAGAATGCAGTCTCTTTAAAATAACCTGCAAAACGTTTAAGGTACGAGATTTAAAGTGCATTACAAAAGCTTAGACATTCTTGTAGACATTCACTAGATCTGTCGGGCTTTCATCAAGGGCAGATATGGCTATGCAATATGTCGCTCAAAAATGAGTCAAGTTGCAAATCTATTTAATTATTATTATATGGAGAGTAATGGTCGTTTTTTTTCCTGACTTTATTACGAATATTGATATCATAATGTTTAATAATGAGAGAAAGCCATATAATATTGTTATAACGTTGTTCTTTCATTGACGGGTTCTTTTAAATTTTCTGGTGAAAATAATTCAAAGTTCAGTCCATGTAATGATAACGCTTTAACAGGCTTGAACACTGTGGAACTTGCAGGGCA